TTGCATTCGTTCGGTTCACACTGTTTCCTCATTTAAATCAATTCATTCTGAATGAATGAAAGTGAAATAGTTGTAAATGATCAACTTCATCAACTGAAATTCCATTCGCCTTATAATATTGATTAATAAAATTTGTTGACGACTAATCAATACGTCAATCTTATTCAATAATCTACTGATAATAATTGGAAATGAATCTTACGACTGTTTTGCGTCATCGAGTCTTTGCAGTAAAGCAATCCAAAATTTGTTGATAGCAGAAGGGAGAAGAACGGAAACGAAAGGTGGTGGTATCATTTTGATGGCATTGAATGTTTTATACTTCGCACTTGATTCCCATTCCAGTGATATCCACTTGGAATAAGCTATCAGCAGTACCTAAATTCATTTCATTTGACTTATCCTCTTCAAATGACCAATAAATAATCCGTTAGTGAGCATTTCGTTGCATTCATTATCTTACTGTAATTAGTCCATTTGTAAATGTTTACATTTGACAAATATCAACTAGAAGTGAATGAATATTTCGGATAGTGTATGAAGAAGATGCAGTCAATTAAACAACCTTAACATCCTTACGTGACAGTGACCTTTCATCAATTTGTTGCAAACTGCTACTGTCCGGTTCGTCTGGTAATACTTGCAGAAAATTGTCCATGAACGACACTGAATTCACTTATTTTCAATATTCAATCAGAATTATCGAACGTTAACGATAACTGCTTAAGATGAATAACAAAACAATTATCATCATGAATTTAATATTACTTAATAGAAACGAATGTATCAACAAAAGGAATCAGTCCTTACTGGATGAATTCCGAAGATCCTTATTAAAGGCAATAAGCCAAACAAGCATCTGCAAAAACTTTCGATTGTCAGCCAAAACCCAAATCTCTGAAAATGAATTTGATGGAAAACTGAAACGACAATTTGAAATTTGATAGGAGTTTCAATTATTAATTTCAATACAGCTCCATTTTCGAGATGTATATCACAAAAAGTTGAGATGCAGTCAAAACGATGCATAGTTATACTTTGGGAAAAAACAAGTGAACTCACTCGATGCGTATTGCTCCATTGAACTTCCTAACTTTTTCGTATAAACACACGACGTAACAGTAGAAACATAAGAAAGAGCATGACTGTGACCTATTTGTCCTTTTTGAAGCACATTCAGAAGCTTTTCACCTATCTGAACATTTGATATTATTATCGCTCTATATCAAAATGGGTTCGTCAAATACAGTTCATACCACGAGACATAAGAGATTTCTAATGGAACCACATACAAATAACACGGTGCAAAGGATCATCCAAACGATAATAATGATATATATTGAGATAAAAGTTTGTAACAAAAATGAACAAAAATTTCTCCAAAATATTCATCAATACTTATATTCATCATATTGGAAAGATGAAAGCAATTATGACAGAATGAATACCTGCTTATTATTGATCAGTTTTTCAGCTGTACTGATCAGATCAGGAGACGAGTTGCAAAGAATTGTATGGAGTATAAGGATATCGCGAGCGCAAACCGCAGCTAATCGAGGTGTGACCGGAGTTGAATGTAGCAAAGCATTCAATGCTAACATGTAACTCCCCAGTCCATATGTTACATCGCCCTCACCTGTTATTCCATATTCATTTGGTGCCTGAACAAATGATACGTATTATGCATCGCCATACTCTCAGAAGAACTTGAATCATAAGTATTATTGCAAACGGTTAAATATGTTTGTGAACTTCACTTTAATTTTTCAATAGCACTGAGTGCGCCTAATCCTCCTCATTGATAATCTAAACGTATTTGTGATCGAAAGTGACGAATATAAATGAGAATAATAATAACTGATAATAATAGGAACTAAAATGATAATAATACAATAAACGAACACGAGAATGACGACTGATCAAGTAATCTCCGATACGTTCGAATAACAGGCACTTGGCGTATGCTTGAAAATGGTCCAATGCTGGCGTTCTTGCTAGTCGGTCGCTTTCCTTTATTGTTGAATCCAATCTAAACGAAATTATAATTAATCGCAATTCAGATTAATTGCATTTACTGGACGCAAAATGTTGAATTAAGCACATGTGAAGACATTTGTTATGAGCGAAGGACACTTTAAAAAACAATTTACTTATTAATCAAGGTGAGAATGCGATCGTTTCGAACGCTGATAGCATCCATACACGAAATACGATCCAATATTTGAGCATTTAGCACCAATACTTTCGCTTTGTAAGACGATTCGTTCAGTTGGTCTTTCATCTTCTTCAAATTAAGCATCGTCAATTTAGTTCAATTACAAAAACGAATAGGCAACAAACAATGAGCACTACATCAATGCATTATCTATTTCCCCGATTCAAGTAAAATTCAGACGTTATAATCAGTTTGATTTCAACTGAAAACTTACATTACAGTGATGGAGCTGTAATGAAAGCAAACGGTTAGTTTCCGAACTGATTTCAATTGAATTTGATGAATGAAAGCGTCAAATAATGGAGGAAAGTAAGGAAGAAATGGATGGCATCAGAGAGGTGAACGATAGACAGGTGAACGCCATTCAATCATAAATGTCCATTAAAGTGGATCTCGAACAAATAATTGATCTTAATAAAAACCAACATCAAGCTCTTCACTAGCTTTCATCAGCCAGAGTGCATCATCGAACTTTGCTGACACCAGCTTACTGGCCTCTTCTTCCACTTCTTTTAACATACTTCCACGAGACTCTCTCGGCTGCAATCGAAATATTTTTGAAAACTTGACGTGCTTTTTGACCATTCCAAATATACCAACTACCACCACAATACTTATTTTAAAACCAAATGACCATGATATGTTCCGAGCAAAAAGGAAAGTGCTATTCATAGTTAGAATCCCCCCACTGAGCACTTTCTTTACAGAAATGATATCGTATTCGAAAACTAGATACGCTTTACAGAGCTCATAATGAAATATGTCATAAACTGACCGTTTTCACAAGGTAGGGTGATGAAATTCCGTTATTACTGATAAAGCTCATATTTAGTTATCACCTGAAAGGATGAGTGGGTAATGTGCGATAAATATCTATATACGCCAACTCGGCCAATGATCCTAGCAAAACGATTAAAAACTCATATCCTCAAAATCNACACACACACACATAACACACGTCAGCCAGTCCATGGATGACGCTTGGTGCAGTTTGGGCCAAAGCCTAAGCCTAGACCTATGCTTAAGCCTAAACCCAAGTATAAGCCTAACCCCCCTCCCCTTGAATACGCGTTGAGCCACACCTCTTTCGTCCTTGACTTTAACTGAGAGTTAACACATTTCTATTGAAATACCATCCATACGCTTCCCGCCTAAAAAATTTTAAAACAGAAAAATTTTCACCGCCTCGGATGAATTCCGCTTATACTCTACCCATTCTCTTGTCGAGATGGAACGTTAGCTATCTTTTGAATGACTGAAAACTTGAAATGCGGCTAAAAAATATCGAAGAACCTATGAAAAAACTGAAAAAGGAATAAGAATTAAAATTCTGAAGAAATTTAGTAGGGCAAAAATTTGGCGAACTAGGATTGCAACCAAAAATATCTTCTACTCGGGTCTACGATAATTGGAACCCCGACAATTGGACCCGCGACAGTTGGCCCCGTGCTAATCGGTTATGCAAAGAATTAAAATGTGAGTCTCGTCATTTGGCGAACTGTCAGCTTATCTTTTATTTTACCAACCTGAACGAAAATTTACTTCAGGCTTGTGTGATCGCCGTTTTCTAGTGTGATAACCGAACGAGAAATTGGTTCGGTATTAATCTGACGGAATCTATTCCTGCAATTCGGAAATTAGGTAATTAATGAAAGCAAGAAATTAACAAAACCAATATCCCACAGTTACTATTATTACTGTTTTCCACTGTTTTAGCTTCTGCAAAATTTCAATATCTCATTTAGTTGTTGATCCCAATTAGTGTGTGCAAAATATCGACCATTTTCTCAGTACCGAGATCAGTATTAATACCGGTATCGTTTTTCAATACCGATACGATACCGGTGTTGAAAAGCAACTTTTGAAATATAGAAATGTGACTTGTTCAACACATTTTTTTGAGCCAATATGTTCATAATTACTCAGAAAACAATTTATTTAATAAATCACTCACCAAAGCTCAGGAAATTCAACAAAAAATTCATTTGGTAGTATAACACTACCAAATTCACTTGTAACGACTTGTGGTATGAATACCGGAAATATCGTGAATACCGGTACCACGAATCCCGAGATCGTTATCGCTTTTCTAATATCGCTATTCGGTATTATCGAGATCTCGTGCAAACACTAATCCTAATTAATGGTTGCACTGCCTAACTTTGGGAAACACTTTTTTTCCCGAGCACGAATTTAGTCTGCAGTCGATGCCTGATAAATGCAATTTCGAGGGTTTGGTTCCCGCGCGCAGAGGAAGTTTTTTTTTCTGTGACTGATCAATTGCTCAGTGAGTTAGAAACTGCTCTTGTACGTTTAGACTACTTATGGAACAGAAACGATAATTTTAATTTTTTCGCGGAAAGGGAGTCAGAAGAAATGCTTGTGTTTGCGAATTGGCGCCTTGTGTGTTGTGTTGATGCAGGAGTTATGAATGAATAGAATTCATTAGATGACGTCTCGTGAACATCTGGTGGGTGGTTTCGCTGGTGGTGTGGTGAGTACGTTAACGTGTCATCCACTTGACCTTCTCAGAATCCGATATTCAGGTATTTAACTTGTAACCAATATATCTACTCGATAATATTCATTCAGTATCTCAAGACGATATTGTAAAATTGTCAGCATATGCGCATTACAAAACATTTCAATGAGAATGTTCAATCGAGGAACAAAATTGAGTGCGATGCAGTTGAATGAAAATTTCAGCAAATGAGGGGAATAACAAATTGAGGCCGCAGTATCGCAGCTACTGGCATGCCACGAGAACTATAATAGCAGCTGAAGGATATCGTGGTCTTTACCAGGGATTATCACCGAATTTGGTTGGTGCTTCTCTTGCGTGGGGATTATATTTCGATTTGTAGGTTATGTTGTTCATTTTACCACTCTTCTCTAATCCATCGTATGAAATCATTCATTAGTAATTACCGTTTTCAAATTGCTACTGTAGATCGTCTCATTCTTTCAGTACCTCTTCATGTTATTCAAATTCGTTCGCAGTGATATATTTGCAGTTATTATATAATTAAAGCAAAATGCAACGAACATCGGATAACATCTGGCAACGAAATGGTTGATAATTTCTTCATTGGTTTGACATCCGGTGCTTCTGTATTAGCACTTACGAATCCGATTTGGGTTGCGAAAACAAGACTTTGTTTACAATATGAAAATCAATTGGGTAAACGTTATACTGGTATGATCCACTGTATTAGACGCATGGCTGTCGAAGAAGGATTTTCAGCGTTATATAAGGTTAATCAGTTATCTTTTTAAGAGCATTCTGTTGTCACATTTTTATTCAGTTACCGATATCCCATCCTCTGTATNAAAAAAAACTTTATAAACGAATTAGAGATGTACTTGTCATTCAAAGGTGGAAGTGTCAAATAATTAAAACAGAAGTTACCACTCGCGTCAGACTCATGCTTGACCTCAGTCTTAGGCTTGAGCTCTGGGTCCTTTTCCACGCAGCATTATCAGACACTTTTCCAACCTGATTTTCTACACTTTTTAGGAGACTCACTCAAAGGTCTTATTCATTAACAATCGGAAAAATTTGTATTCATTTCCTTATTTAATACCAATAATACAATTTGACTTAAACTATTGCACTGCAGGGTTTTGTACCGGGATTATTGGGCACAGGTCACGGTGCTCTACAGTTCATGCTGTACAACTACTTAAAGGATTCGCACTATCGAAAACTTGGTGTCACATCTGACTATAAATTGGTATTGTTTATTCGCATTACTGTAAAATGCTGACATAACATAAATGATTAATTATAGAGTACCATCGACTATTTATTGTATTCATCGGCGTCAAAAATTGTCGCAACAACTCTGACGTTCCCTTACCAGCTATTAAGAACTCGTCTCCAGGTTCGTCTCCTTTTTCCTTTCGTTGAATTCGTCGAGAAGAGTTCCAATATGATTCTAACCTCATGGCATTTATTCCTCTAAAAACCTTCCTTGAAAATGCTAACAACAATCAAAAAGTATATTTCTATAGTGCAGTATTATGCAGGATCAGCACGCAGACTATCGAGGAGTATGGGATGTGTGCAAACGGACATTCCAAAAGGAAGGAATATTCGGCTTCTATAAGGGTCTTTATATGGCTAATATTCGACAGGTACCTGCAGCTGTTGTCACGTTCATCACTTACGAAAATGTACGACACCTTTTCCGAACTTACAGTTTAGTATAATCTGACGCCCGACTGTTCCGATGTATTTGTTGACGTTGTGAAAAACAACATGATCTGCATTTAAAATGTATGTGTTTATATGAATATGATATGATTCGTTGACCATATGATATGAATATGATATTGACCAAATTTTTTTGGCTTTGTATTATATAATGACAAATAGATATATATCTATTAGATTGTATAGTTAAGTTTCACTCACACACTTTCAAATTATGCTTCGATTCATTGTTAAGTTGTTCTTTATTCCACTGCTGTCATGAATGTTTAGTGTTTTACTGATTTATTCCTACCTGTTAATTTCTAGAGATAACTGACTCATTTAGAAACTATCTGCTGACATGATAACGCATATATATTCGAGGTGATAAAGTATTTGATAGTGCAGTAAATGGGATTTGATCTTCACTGAATACGCAATGAAGTGAATTTGTTTTCTCCAGTATTTTTGATTCAAATAATACTGTAGACAGTGGTAATGGTAATCGACTGAACAGTTTTGAAGTTCGAGCGGAATTTCCAATTTCGGAATCTCAAAATGTGAATTCGGTCGGATTCGATCGAAACGGACTTTTGCCAGCTTGTCATCCCTAAGATGCGATTTGCTAATTTGTGTGAAAGGGATGCAGCGCATAGTCGCGCACCGCTTTGGTTCTCACGTTTCTTACTAATGGTTCTCACGTTCGGGAGCTCCATTACACCTTCGATGATCTGGAAGGCCGTCCGTCATTACCCCTTCCCTCTCCCCACTATGAGAACTTTCTACTTCCACGAATGCAATCTTGGAAGTCGGTTGGAAACAACCTGCCTAAGCATCTTATTTATAAATATGAAAACAGCAATTTCCAATCTAGAATCCCACAACACATCCCCAACAGCGCAATACCCAACGGCATTCCATCATAACACAACAACTGCGCGACATATTAGTTTGCAGACCCCCTCAACTACCTCCCTGACTACCCCACATTACACCTGTGAGTATTTTACACCCAATGAGAAATAACGTTCTAGTCAGAGCAATATTTTCGTATTTCGCTAAGCACACTGACATGTGCACTGTAATCTGTTAGACAAAAACAATAAACACGCAATAGGACTGATGGTTTTCTTTCGCTTCGTTACACCTAGCCTTCAGCTGTGTCGCTTCATGATACCAAGAGTCGTATTGTATGAAAAGTGTTTAACCAGTGCGATAAAATTAATTGCAGAAAAGAGGAGGAAGTTCAAAAATGGGGATCAAATTAAAGGAAGATGAATTTAGCGTAGTACTCGATGAGAGGAGGGGAAGTGAGAAAATCGAAGGAGAGAAGGATAGAGATGAGGTCGGACATTTATTCGGAGAAATACGATTTATAATTATATTTTGCCACTTTGTTCGTTCCAGTGGAGCTCTTTTCATTATAATAATGTCGTACGCATTGTAATCTATAATATTCGCTGTTATTGCTTGAATGATTATTTGATGAATTTGCTTGAATGATTTGTTTATTGCTTGAATGATTTGACGAATGTTTTAAATGATTATGGATTATATTTCTATTTCAAATCTCTTTTCAACGGCACTCTCACTTTTCACTGAAATGCATTATTTTTGTTCTTGGAATAAATTGAAATGTTTCTGATTTTTGGCTATTGGATAGTATGGTCGAATTTATGTTAGGCACTTTACTTATTGTTAGTAGGAATAAGGTGGTGAAGCTGAACGTCGTCAATGTGAGTAATGCTCTGGTGTCAGCCTTTTTTTTATACTTGAAATGTGATGGTGGAATTTCAAACCTGAATTGCTTATGACGCCGTGGTTTGGGATGAATAAGAAGTGAACTAGTAGTTTTTAGTTCTGGATGTTGAAGGTTACTAGGATCGTTCTTACTAGTCTTCATCAATTTCGTTAAAATCCAATTTGATGACTATTTGATCAGTGATATAATAGTTGTTTATTGAATTTTGGCAGTTATCAATATTTGTTATTGTGAACGAGTGACAATCGTGTTGATTTGTAAAGATTTATGTGAAGATATTGCGACTGTAAGTGAATTTATTCTTTTGGAGAAATTCATTCGAGAAATTCGAATGACTTTCCATTTATTGCAGTAAATTTTATTTGCTTTTCACAGTTGTGCCTGGTGATTACAATGCGATTATATTCAATGATAATCGGTGGATTAAAGCAGAGATGGGCAGTAACGCGTTATCGCAATGTTTCGCTTTGTAGCGAAAGCGTGCTGCTGCCCAATTCTGGACTAAAGAGATAAAGAAATCGGTGTTTTCGTCCATTTTGCAATAAATTTTTGTACATCGCTCATATTTTCGGTCGGTTTTGTTTTTTGTGCCATAATGAATTTATTCCACTCATCTCGATTCGCAACTCTACCCGATGAACCGAATTCTTTCGCATCGCCGCAAACTGCATAACCTTCAATCAAAGTATTGTTCACGTGTCACTAACCAAAAGCACTGATAAAACCCCCTTTAATAACTTGAAAGTGCACACAACAGATTAGAGAAATCTGTTAGATTAGTATTCAAGTTTAAGATATAGATATTGTATTTTGCGTCTGTCTACATGCAATCACCTTATATTTTGAACTGAAAACATCTCATTCTACTGCTAGATTGAATAACATCAGCGAATTTCGCAGTTTTAATAAAAATGAAATTGCGAGCGATTCATCTGAAAGTTACAATTTGTTGAGATAGACGGACGAGTCGTTTGATGGTTTGCGAGTGAACGAACGGTTGTTAATGACTGTTATGCAATGAATAATCAACTGGACATATATTTCTAAATGGCGATAATAAGTTGAAAACCTGTTATGATGCACGGCTTATACGTGATACCATTCGATTTCAGTAGACTTCCCTCGAAACTGCCATTCGAATCTAATGGTAATCGTCGTTCCATATTTTGTTCAACCGAAATTGCCAACACCCATTCTTTCATCTCTTCGTGTTCTTCCTTCTTAAACATATTCATAATCCATATCCAACTAATAAATTTTGATATCGAATCATAATCTGATATTGGTGATGTTCATGACAATTTTTAATATTGGAGTGGAACATTCGAAGATTATTATTTCGCAAACGAACTTCATGTGAATGTGTTCATCAAATTATATTGAATTTTTTTTAAAACATCAAGCTTCTTGTCACTATAAATCCACGCTTAAGCACCATTCGTTACAGCTACTCTTCACAATTCAAAATTATATGGGGATGTGAATTTTAAGATTTGTGAAGAAATACGTTTTGGTTTGTGTGAAGAAATGGATTGGGGACTAACCGATAAGAATGGAGTTTCGGGTAGAGGAACTTCTTGTGGTATATCAGTGTTACTGAAGATGGATGAATCGACAATCGATGCATCCTGTTCTTCGATTGCATCGTTCAAGTCGAGGCAGTGGTTCAGTAGGACAAATGCTAAACCAATGCGGCTGCCACCTTCCTTCTGAATTTAAACTTCTTCATTTATGCATTTGTTCATTTAATCAGTAAGCACATCTGTTCTCAACATACAGTACAACTAAATGGTGATGGATGTCAGATGGATTAGAATATCAAATCTCGATATCATATACAAAGAAATGTTAAAATAATCAACAACACGCAACCTGACATGCGATTCCAGCCTCATAAAAGACTTTATCTGCAGCAACCAGATCAGAATAACGTAGAAGACTAATGCTCAACTGCGTTATTATTACATTCATCTCATTCGTTCCATTCTCGCTGAGTGCACAACGAAGTGATCCGTAGTGTGCCACATACAGATATCTTTCAAATATCTGAATGTTCATATTATTTCATGTTTCCGTTCTGTTTTTGTGCTTGTGCAAGTATAAAAACAACTATCAATCTATTCACTCAATTGCAGCAGCGC